GGGCCTTGCCCCGAGCGCGAGTGGCGCTGGCGGGGGGGTACCTGGGAGGGGTCCGGGCGTCCTCGGGCTGCCACTGAGGTCAGTGTTCGTTCAGGCCGTGCCACAGCTGCGTGGGTCTGGCGTGGTAACGCCCGAGGGAACGATTCAGTCGTCCCTGGGGCAGAGGGGTCCACGGGCCGCCGTTCAGGTGGCTCTCCATAAAGGGACTGTGTTCAAACTAAACCCTTCCGGCTCTCCCGTGGTCACGTTCCCTTTGCTTTTGAGGTTGATTCTGAGGTCCCGTGTCACTTCCACCAAGACGTCCCTCCCCACACGGGCACTTGTGGGAGCTCCCAGGCTGGTGGGAGGCTCCCCTCTTCCCTGCTGGTTTGACTGGACACTCTTATGGGATGACAACCAAGCGGTTATCTGTCTGAGTTGGCACTAAAAAAACCCAAACCAACAAACTACCCTTTTGTTTATTAGTGGACACCAGGCTTGAATACGTGTCCCATTGCTGTTTATTTGCTAAAGCATGCGGAAGAACATATATTTGAGTATTTTACCAGTAGTCTCTACAAACTTGCAGCTTTTTTGGGATGCAGGTAACTTTCTGTGGATGACTTCTCTGAATTACCATTTGTGCATTGCAGAATGGTGCCCTATGGCTTCTGGTCGGCCTGTGGGGAACTCTCTTGCTCACTACCTGGACTTCATATCATTACCAGTCCCTGAAGTGATCTGAAGGTGGCATGGTTTGGTTCCTGGTGTCCTCATGGGCTGTATTATTATTTTTTTAGGTTCCAGAGGAATGTGTTGGACCTCTCTTTACAGTGGAGATTTGCCAGACTGCCCAACAATGCCAAGCTGGAGATGGTGCCAGTCCCTAACAGAGTGGGAACTGGAAGCACGGTACGTTCGTCTTGCCCTGTTTGTTCAGTTATTGGTTGTACTGGATATGATCTGGTCAGGTCTAATGAACAGGAGCCTGGTTAGGCGTGGAAGACTACCCAAAGACTAGTTGAGGTGTAGTGGAAAATGGTGATTTAGTAGCTGGAAGTCTTTGCTTACAGCCTGAGTGATGGCAGAGTTCCAGTTGTGTGCAGAAAAAGAAGCAGTTGTGAATGTAGAAGTTAAATGTCACTGATGACTTCTGCTCAGCAGTTGAGGTGCTAACTCAGGTTCCCTTTCCTGATTGCTATTTCAGTTGCTGTTGTCTGCCTCTAGATTTTGACAAAATTTCAAATTCTTGCAGGAGTCTCTTTTGCTTCTTTCCCAGTGTTGCTGTTCACAGTGTGTTCGTGCAGCTTTAGAGTTGCTGTGACGTGTGCTGCTTAGCGGCTGCCAAATGTCCCTATTTACTGTAATTCTGAGAGGGCTTACAGATGCTGTGTTTTGTAAAAATTACTGTCATATTTAGGAGATTTTCAAATCTTTTATGCATGTCATTGTAAGAGCTGGTGGCTGTTACAGTCATTTAAAAAATGATGCATAGGTGTTAATGAGCATAGACGTTTTATGTGGTAAAAATAGTGTGTGATCTTATTTAAGTAGCCTGGGAATGAAGGTCTATAACATTCATCTCTCTTCTTACTGACTTCCTCTTAGAGAGTTTCTCAGTTTCTGTGAAAGTTGCAGGTCTATTAATGCTAATCTCCTCACGTGTCTCTGCCAAATTGTGTTAGTGCTGTTTTGTTACGGGGAGTCGCTTTAGCTGTCACAAGGATAAACCAGTACATACATTGAAAAGGGAACTTTGTAGTGGGAGAAGGTTTTGGAATCGGTGCTGTAGTTCACTGTGGGTGTGCAGTATAGTTTTGGTGTCCATGTATTTCTCTGTAAAACCTCCATGTGCTTTGCTTTGGCACTAATGTTTTCTTTCTGACTGGTAGAAAGAAGCTTGTGCTTCAAATGATGTCTTTGGTTAAGCTGGAAGCATCTGCTTAAAAGTTTCCATTAAAAGAAAGTTGTGATGACATGGAGTTTGTCTTCCAGAGGAGAGTGTTTAAATGGCACTGTGATTGCTTTGTCTGACATTTACACACAGTTTGTGATGTATTGTACCCAAGGAAAACAGTGATTTAATTTTTTTTCCCCGTGAAGATACGTGCAGCATACCAGGAAGGGTGAAAAGGACCGTGTGCTGTAGGAGGGAGCTCACAGCCTGAGGCCACTACTAGGTCACAAAAGAGGAGAGCTAATGAAGCTTAAGGTGTTACTGTTCAGTTGTACTTCAGCAGAAGAATCTGCAGAAGTAGAGGCTTCCCCTGGAGGGCTTGTTGCTGTTCTACAGAGTTGAGAAAATACAGCAAATATGCTGGTGAAGAGTGCAGTCTAAACAGCAACAAAGCTGCTGTTCCATAAATGTTCCATAAACTAAAACCAGAGATTTCCCGTGGAAGAATTTAACAGACAGTATAAGAAGATACTTTGTATGGACCAGTTGATCAGAATAGTTCCCTGCCAGGGGGAGCTGGTGTGGAGAACCATAGGCAGTTTAAAACAGCTGGAGGGCTGTGACTGGAGCTGACACCAGCATTGTGCCCTAACGTGGCAGCAGTGAGGTGTGGACTCAGCCACAACAGCCAGGCTGCAGTAATGCTGCAGGGTGAAAATGGTTCTGTGCCTTCTGTTACTGTCCCTTTCTACTGAGATAATGGGCAGAAAGTAGCAGCACTTTCTTGTGGTGTGTTGGCAGCAGTAACTGTGCAGACAGAATACAGGTTTCAATAAATCACAAGTTTGTTCATCAGATATTTTTAAAATGGAATGCTTTTGGACCATTTTTACAAATCATTGATTCTTACAAGACAGTTTTGTTGTGAAAAATTAAATTCCCCTTGTGTTAGCAGATGATTCAGGGGTGCCGTCAATACATTTCTGGTATTATTTTATGTAGACCTTGAGTTTTTAAGAAGAGTTTTCTAATTTCCATGCCAGCGAGGAGAAACAGAGCTGCTTATTTGAGTGCTGCCAGGGTTTGGGGTCAGGGCAGCCCCAGAACTGTAACAGACACTCTGTTAACCCCCAACATGAAAGGGAGAGAGAAGGGGAATAAGGGAGAGAGACTTATGGATTAGGAAAGAGAACAGCTTTAATGCTACGACTAATAATAACAGTAATAGTGATAATAAAATAGACCATATACAAATCTATGCAGAGCTAGTACCAACCCCAGCTCCCCCCATGGCAACACGTCACCATCACCCTGGCTAGGAGCAGCCCCCGGGGAAGGGTCCCAGGCTGGACTGGGCCACAGATGGACTGGGCACAGGGGCTGGCCTCTGGAGCTCAGGTCAGGAGCACAGGGCTCGGATCAAAGGCAGGATGGATGGAGTCCGGCTCGGGTGGGGGCACTGCAGCCGCAGCAGCCAGGAGGACAGGAGCCAGCAGCAGAGGGAAGAGAAGAAGAACAGAAGGGATGACAGAAGGGCTTGTCCCTCCTGATCCTCCAGCTTCTACTGGATATGAGGGCTATGGGATGGAACACCCCACTGGGGAATCCTGGGGTCAGTTACTCTGCCTGCTCCTCCCTGCAGGTGTGGGGCACTCTCTGCCCCCCTGTGTGGGATCCGAGCTCAGCAGTGGCCTTGGTCTGCACACCAACCCCTGGCAGTAACTCCAAACATGAAGTGTTATCACTGCTACAGCCAGATAGTTTATGAAAAAGCTGCTAACTTCAGACAGAGCAGTTACTTAGAAGAGCTTTAGCTAAGAAGTAAAATCATTGAGCAGAACCAGCTCTGTTTTACCCCAAACCAGGACGACTGCATAGGACTTTCGTGACATTGTTGGCTTTGAACTGTTGCCCAAAAACTGATGCAATTGGTAGTCTGAATTTCTGGGCTGGATTCTTATAGAATTATGATGTCAGCTGTCATCACTCTGCTGTAGCTGAGAGTAATCTAAGGCTTGTCTCCAGCATAGGAGAATCCAGGAGGCTGTGTCAGTGGAGGGAAGAAAAGGCCTAGTTCTGGTGGCTAGTTGTTGGGGATGCCGCTGTCTCCGTTGTGCAGAAAAATTCCTGTCTCCGGTCGGTCCCAAGCTGCAGTCCTGCAAGGACTGGAAGGAGCTGAGACAGATAACAAAATGTATTCCTCCAGGGGAATCACTGTCAGTTGCTGGAGTGTGCAGAGCCTTATTTTTTTCCATCTCTCTTTCTCTGCTTCTTCCCCCACCCTGTGCTCTTGGATGCTTCTCCTGCCCCTCACGCTCACGGAGAGCGAGGGTGCGCTGAGGCTGTTGGTGGGGTCATGTGAAAACAGAATGAAGGAAAGCTTCTGTTGGTGTCCTAGGTTTATGTCCTTCTCAGACTTTTGAATAAGGCCAGTTTCTGTGGGCTTCAGAAAAGCCTAGTTGAGTACTAGGTGCTATCTAATAGGGAATTTTTATTTTTTACTTTTCTCTAGATGGGTGACCTAGTAGGGAGAACAGACATTTTGAAGAAGGCAGATGAATATTTTCTAGAAGGTAAAGATAACACCTGGAGTGCTCTGCCATTTCTCCATCTCTTGGTCACCTGCTGGTTTTTTCCCTTGGGACCATCAGGAGTTTGGCATTGTTCATGACTGTCCTCAGTGTGTGTTCATTTAAGAAATGAATAAGGAGCTCCTGGCCAAACTCAAACACAAAAATGAAGCATATGGGGAGTGAAAACAAGCATGGGTGACCTGGGAATAGAGAAATCTTGTCTGGGCATCCAGGGATGAAGTTAGGAAAGCTTAAGCACGAGTGGTATTGAATATGGTCAGGGACATCAAAGGCAACACGTAGGGCTTCTGTAAGCATGTAGGTGACAAAGGAAGGCAAGGGACAGTGTGGTCCCGTCGCTCAGCATGACGGGGGACTTGGTTACACAGGACATGGAAAGGCTGAATGCTTTCTTCACTACCAAAACTGGCCTTCAGGGATTCCAGGTCCCAGAGGTCAGGGGGAAAGGCTGGAGCAAGGAAGACATACCCTTGGTGAGAGAGGGTCAGGTCAGGGAGTACTTGAGCAAACCCAACATCCAAAAGCCGATGGGCCCTGGTGGGATGAAGGAGCTGGCAGATGTCACTGCAGGGCTACTCTTGGTAGTCTTTGATTGACCATGGTGCTTGGGAGAAATGCCTGAAGACTAGAGGAAAGCAAATGTCACTCCTGTCTTCAAGAAGGACAAGGAGCAGGACACAGGGAACTACAAGTGGGTCAGCCTCACCTTGATCCTTGGGAAGGTAACGGAGCAGCCAGTCCTGGACACCATCTCAAGGCACGTAGATGACAGGGAAGTCACTGGGAGTAGCCAGCATGGATTCACCAAGGGAAGTCATTCCTGACCAACTTGGTAAGCTTCTGTGATGAAATGACTGGCCTGGGAGGGGAGGGGAGAGCTGTGGATGTTGTCTGCCCCAACTTCAGTAAGGCCTTTGACACCTTCTCTCAAGATCCTCATATGTAATGCTCATGTTCATAGCAGAGTAGAACTATTCTAGATGCTAACTTCTAGAAGGATAGTCTGAATACTCCTCTGCATTTTTAATTAATGTAGTCCTTTGCAGCAAGTGTTTAGAAGGAAGCAGTGTTTTTTTGGATGCTGGGCTATAGAGATTATTGAAATATTAAGAAAAACTGTGAAGACAAAGTTTTAATTAGATTTGCAGGTTAATTCAGTGTATTTTCCTGCAGGTTCGGGTTGCGTTGCAGCTGGATGAGGGCTCCCGTTTACAAGACACCTTTCTCTGTCACCAGACTTTGTGGGAACTTCTCAACCATTTTGCAGAGATCAGGTGAGCAATGCAGTGAGAAGACACTTGTTTGGATGGATCTCTGCATGACAGTAGTTCGTTGTTCTTATGGTGATTCAGCTAAATCCTGCAGATTTGTAGAATTTGCTTCTATTTGACCATTTTTTTCTCCTCTACAACACAGATGTTTGCCTTTTCCTTGCTTTTTCAGATTTCACACTCCGTAGTTTCATTTTTTTGTAGGAACATTTAGGTAGGAAAAGACCCTTAAGATCATTGAGTCCAACCATTAAAACAGCACTGCCAGGTCCCCACTGACCTCTGTCCCTCAGCACCACATCTCCACAGCTTGGAAACTCCTCTGGGGATGGGGACTCCCACCACTGCCCTGAGCACCTGGTCCAAAGCTTGACAACCTTTTCAGGGAAGAAATTTCTCCTAATATCCAACCTAAACCTCCCCTGGTGCATCTTGGGGCTGTTTCTTCTTGTCCTGTGACTCATTCCTTGGGAGGAGCGTGAACCCCCCCCACCTGGCTCCACCCTCCTTTCAGGGAGTTGTTGAGAGTGAGAAGGTCTCCCCTGAGCCTCCTTTGCTTCAGGACACTGTACAGTAACAGCAACAACTTTTGGGTTTTTTTCCCCCCAGTCCTGGAGTGATGCTCCTGATTGAGGGCATGAACTGGTGACAGCTGAGGCCTGTATTGCCACAGCCATCTCCTACTCAGACTTGTGTGAGGTAAAGCTACTGCCTGACCTGAGAGGGTAGCCTAGATTATCTTGGTCACCAGTATTTCTGTGCTGTGGTCCCATGTGGTGGAAGGGATTCCTCCTTAGGCGAGTTGCTGTTCTCTTGAGGCCTGCTGTTGTGTTAGCTCTTCAGGGAAGACGGGAGCTCTCAGCAGACTAACGTGGGATCTCCGAAAAACTGATTACATCCTGTTTAAATGTAGGAATTTCTGCTTCAACATTTATTGAATATATACATGGATGAGAAATTTTATCATTTCAGTCCAGTCTACATTCAGTGCTTTCTCTTGTGTTTAGTTTTGACTTTAAATACTGTATTGTTTTGAAATGTCAAGCTAGTAAACTTTTCTCCAGAGACGGTTCTTGTATTTCTGTCATGGCTTGGAAGAGGGAGCCTTGAAGCTGTGACAGCCCTTCTATTCTGAGAATGAATAGAATTTCTACATTTCATTTTTACTACTGTAGTTGCCTTTACCTTTCTCTTGATAATATTTTTTTTTTATCCTGTTCTTTCTCTTAAATTTCCTCCTCTTCTGCTAGTTGCCTTTAAATCTTTTGCTCATCTGCACAGATGCTATGCTATGATATAATGCAAATAGGAATTATTTCTGTTATTTTCTCAAAGCAGTTAAATACTTACCTAAAGAGATACTAGCTTCCTCTGTCAAAACTTGTGAAGTCTCCAAGGCTGGGGTGCTAGAAAAGATACAAAATGAGTAGTCAGTAGTAAAGGTGATGGTGCAGTAGCATTCAGGTGAGCTCAGCCTTTTAGGGTACAGTTACAGGATGCAGAGTGACAGATTGTTACCTGTTACCTCAGCTGGAGTAAATGACAGGTTACAGGGATGTGTTAGTACTAGACTAACATGTTCTAGAGTGAATTATTTCAGCTGAAGTTTAAAATTGTTTGTTCTCCACAGCAGTTGAAGTAGCCTAAGCAGCATGTTTCTGGGTTTGAGTTGGCTGATATTAAGCCAGGGTTGCATGGCTGAATTGTATGACTGGAGTTGATTGGGAGCTGTTTACAGGGTGAAGGAACCAATATTTCCAGCCTTCCTATGATTTTCTGCTAGCTTAGCTCCCTGACAGGCCCACAACAAGATCAAAGCAGGGACTAGTGCTGGACCAAGGGTGGGAATTTGGACTGGGGTCATCTTCTGTGGGGTGGTAGGGGATTGAACAGTTAGTGCTCTACTTTCTGTCCTCCTATCTAACTCCCCTCCTACTGTTTGTGCAGCTTTGTGGGGAATTGGCTTAACTAGCTGATTCAGCTGAACAGTAGTATTTTCCTTATGTTACCTTTCAGGTAGATAAGTTTCCTAACCCCATCAAGGGTTGTCTTTCATAGGCAGTTATGACAAGAAGTCCATTGTGTCTGGAAACAAAGATCCAAAAGGAGGAAGCAGCAGATGGGTAGGAATGGCATATATCAGTTTCTCTGCTCAACGTGTTGTGTCATCAAACCACAGTGTGAGGAAATGCTTGAGGCAGTCTGGTGACTCTGAAGGGATATAACTAGAAAAGGATCAGGGAGAATCTTCAGACTTTAATGGATGTGGGGGGAAACAGTGACTGAGGACAAGGAAAAGGCTGAGCTGCTGAATGCCTGCTTTGCCTCAGTCTTTAACAGCAGGACTAGCTGTTTGCTGGGTAGCCAGCCCCTTGAGCTGGGAGGCAGGGATGGGGAGCAGGAGACAGCCTCCCTAATAGAAGAGGAAATGGTCAGTGATCTACTGCATTACCTAGACACCCACAAATCTGTGGGGCCTGGTGGGTTACATCCAAGGGTGCTAAAGGAGTTGGCTGATGAGCTTACAAAGCCACTCCTTGTGGTTTACTGGAAGTCCTGGCTAACTGGGGAGGCCCCAGTGGACTGGAGACTGGCTAATGTGATGCCCATTAATAAAAGGAAGGAGGATCCCGGGAACTACAGGCCTGTCAGTCTGACCTCAGTGCCAGGAGAAGTTGGGGAGCAGATCATCCTAAGTGCCATAACACAACCTTTACAGAGTAGCCAGGCCGTGGGGCCCGGGCAGCACGGGTTCCTGAAGGGCAGGTCCTGCTTAGCAAACCTCACCTCTGTTATGACACAGTGACCATCTGGGTGGAGGAGGGAAAGGCTGTGCATGCTTTGCATCTGGACTTCAGGGAAACCTTTGATACTGTGCCCCACAGCACTCTCATCACAACCCTGGCTGCCCGAGGCCTGGCTGGGGGCACACTCCACTGGGTGCAGAGAGTGGTGGGGACTGGAGTCACATCTGGCTGGGGCTGCTCACAAGTGGTGTTCCCAGGGCTCAGGGCTGGGCTGCTGCTCTTTAACATCTTTATCAGTGATCTGGAGGAGGAGATTGAGAGCACCCTCTGTAAGTCTGCAGATGACACCAAGTCAGGTGGGTGTGTTGACCTGCTGGAGGGCAGGGAGGCCCTTCAGAGGGCCCTGGGCAGGCTGGGCCATGGCTGTGGTCAGTTGTGTGAGCTTTAACAGGGCCAAGTGCTGAGCCCTGCCCTGGGGCCACAGCAGCCCCCTGCAAAGCTCTAGACCTGGGGAGGAGTGGCTGGAAAGCTGCTTGGCAGCTGGGGGTGTTGACTGACAGCCAGGTGAACATGCAGTGTGCCCAGGTGGCCAAAGGGGCCAAGGGCATCCTGGCCTGTATCAGGAGTGGTGTAGTCAGCAGGCCAGGAGGGGCCTTCATCCTGCTGGACTCAGCACTGGTGAGGCTGCATCTCCAGCCCTGGGTTCAGTTTTGGGCACCACAGGACAAGAAGGGCAGATGGCCTGGCAGAGCTTGAGAAGGTTTGGACTCGGTGATCTTAAATGTCCTTTCTTACCACAGTGATTCTGGGTGAAATGAGTATTACTTATCATTGCCTTTTTGGTTCTGATGGTCAAGGACCAAGTCTTCACTGTGACATTTATTCTTAAGTCAAAAGGGACAGTCTTCATGTAAATGCTTGAGAGAAAAGAGTTATTTCTCTTTTGACTGAGGAAAGAGGTAGGCAGGAAAAGCCTTATGACTACCCAGGTGTAATTTTCCTGGGTGTTGTAAGGAGGAGAGTAGTGCCTGTTACAATTTGGGAACTGCTAGACTGGTCAGGTTGGTAATTATAGACAGTGACAAATAGCCTTTGAGTGGCTTTCTTGCCCATTAGTTGGATATTTCTTTGGTTTATATTTTCAGCTTTTTATATAATATTGTTCCTGTGTGGTTTTGTTGCAGGTTATTGTAATACTGATAATTAATGTACGTGCTGCTCTTTTTAAGGGTCTGACTGCTACGGTGTGCTAAGCATTAACAACTTCAGTTCATAAGACACAGCTATTCTATTCTGCCCTCTAGAAGCTGAGCTCAGATGTTTGGATGGACTTTGCAAACTGTTGATTAAGTTCAGCAAGCAGCAAAGATGCTCTGTGAGACTTAATCACAAAACAAGCTGCATCTACACCCACCCGTGTAGGTTTACTGGGCTGTGCTCCTCTCCAGCGTGTGTTGACTCAGTGCACTAACTAGTCAGCTAGCTGTTAACTTTGCTGTATCCTTCCTTTGACTTTCCAACTGGAGACATTTTCCTGGAATGCTCGGCCGCTCTGAGTGCGTGAGGGGAAGTATTCTAAACCCACTGGAATTTCCCCTGGGTTTCCAGCGTCCATCTTGGCTAATTGGGTCTGAAGAAGGTCTGGAAGCTATTGTGAGGCTGCTCCTCCTCGCAGCAGGCGGCAGTCCTTGCACAAGATGTTTACAGGCCCTGTCAGATCACTACATGAAGGAATCTAATCTGCTTGCCGTTCCCCCTCTGAAGAGCAGCACATCAAAGAAATGACAGTGTGTTTGATGTGTGTGCTTGCCTCAGTGAATGCATGTAACGGATTAGCAGCAGCTGGAGGAGGAGCCTGCTAGCTTCCAAGAGTTAGACAAAAATAAGTCTCTGGGGAATCTTTGCTTGGGGTCTGTTCTGCTGAGGCTGGTGGAAGGCACAAGTGTTGTGTATACCCTTTTAGCATGAGGCCTGGGAGAACTGTTGTTTCTCTGTGTCCTCCTCCTGCCTGTCTGGCAGCTTCAGCAAGTTTGTAGACTGTTTTACGTGGAAGTGATTGCAGTCTGGACATGTGAAGACAATTTAAGTGATGACTATGACTCTCTGCTACTTTTGTGGTGTTATTCATGAAGTTCAGATATTTTCCATGCATTTTTAGAACACTCTTCAATCCAAAGAGTTGCTTGGATTGAAGTGGAAGGCAGTTTTGGAAAGGTGAATGAAACTAGGTTGTGTAAGTCATATTGGTTTCCATTCTTATGGCTCTGTGTGGTAAGGATGTGTTCCCTTCTGCCTTGACTTCTTCTGTTAATGCTGATCATCCACCTTTCCTGATAGGCAAGCTGAAGTTTTAATTTTTCTAAGGCTGTTTCACCTGCCTTTTCTGTAATTGTGTGCTGTCTGCTCCATGTTTCAGCAGTGCTTTATCTTATGTGCACTTCTGTCGAGGATTCCTGTATAGATACAGCTGATCCTGGTTGGAAGCAAAAAAACATTGCAAATAAGGTAGGGGTGACTGGCCCTCCCAGAGTGTCTGGGGAAGTCTGAGCACACACAGCCTGCTATGGTGTGCTAAAGGTAGTTTCTTAGATGCTATTTCATTCCAGCCAAGAATTTTCTTTTTCTGCCTTTCCTCATCAAGCATTGGGCTTTGGAACTTACTTGGTTAGTGCTGTGGAAGGAGTGAGGGAGGTAAGGGCCTGGGCCATGAATCACAAGATGATGCTCATTCTGTATTAGGAACATGATCTCTTGATTCCTGCAGAACGTTGTATACAGCTTTCTGTCTTTGACAGAGAATAACTGAGTGCAGAACTGCAAATGGTGTCAGACCTATTCTAGTGGTGTTCACTCTGAGTGAGGAATTTAACTATTTCATAATCTGAAGCTTAAATGTAATGGTTTGGATGCTCTGGGTGTGTCTGTTTAGCGTGGTGCTGGGAGAAGTGTTCTGAAAGAGTGGTACCTCAGGACTATAAACCCCTTGTGATCTGTTGCAGCTAGTCTGGAAGTAGTTCTCAGCCCCTGACTTCCTAGACCAGACCCTCAGGACTGGTTTTACAGGTTAGTCTGTTTGGATTTGCTAGCTCTAGTGAGCACAGGTTCTCAGTTTCATCGTGCCTCACCTTGTCCCATATCACCATGTTGTTGCATGCATTATTTGAAAAGGCTTAAGTTTTAACACATCAAGGTGGGAGATACAGTTAAGCCAAACAGAAGTCTCAGCTGTGATCTGTGCTTAACAGGTTCTCTGCCCCACATCCTCCAGCTGGAAATCTCTGATGTGTTCTTTCTTTTGAGCACTACTCAAGGATTGAGTTCTGTAATCTTCCAGGTCAACTCGATCCCAAATGACTTCTGGATCCAGCTATTCCACTTCTGTTTCATTGAAGCTGAGTTTTGAGTCTAAATATAAATGTCTTTGATTAATATTCCAGGAACTTAATGGCTGTTCCTCCAGTTTTCACTCTCTAGGCTGGTTGGCTCCTTCCCTGTTCAGTTTGTTTTGTCACGTTGTGCTGAGCTAAATAGATTAATGGTAAATAGGCATTGTGTGTGTGTGTGTGTGTGTATATTTATCTATCCTTTTGAGCTGCTCATCTGTGATGTATTTTGGACATAATGGAAAGACCACGTAAGATAATACTGGCTGCTGTTAAGTTACCTTGAATATTATGATGGTAAGATTATTGGTACTGTTGCATTGGAAGTAGTAAGATGTGTTTGTGTACACAGACTCTTGTCTTCTGAAGGGCTTAGCTAGAGGGAAATGGGAAGAGCAGCATCTTGCCAAGAGTAGTATCTTGCCAGTTTTTCCTCTTCCCTGTGACAAGAGCCCTTCACTTACATCTTCCTCTGCAGATGGCTGTTAACAGTTTTTATCATTGCTGCTCTGTGTCCTGCCTCACTGAAATGCTTAAATGTGGGTTGATCTTCACTTTGTCTGCTCCGACAGCCTTTCCTTTGGGCTCTTTGCTTTGTCTCTGGTCTCCAGCACTGGAAAGCTTCTGCTTTTTTCTGCTTTTTTTTTTCTTTTTTTTTTTTAATGTCTGATACTCAGACAGGCAAATTCTTTGTGCTCAGATTATTTGCTTTAGAGTAGTATTTCATTCTGTTTGTTGCTGTGCATACATGGAAAGAAACTGATGTGTCCCAAAGAAAGTACAGGCTAAACTGTAATAAACTATTTAATTTAGAGAAGGGATTAAAAGGAGTAAGTATTATTAAGTCGTATTACAGACTGAGTACTGAGGCACGTGAAGAATGATGTGCTCAAATTTATCTAGCCAGATCAACTAATTTCAGAATGAACTTTAATGATTTCTTCTTTGTTTTTAAACTCTCAGGACTGTGTTTAAGGAAGAGTAAATATAATGGAGCAAATTCTCTGTGATATCTAATACTGGCTCTGTGAACTGTGTAATGGTTGTTGCTGGAGGAGCATGGAGGAAAGTCTTGCTAGCTAATTTTATTTCTTACCGTTGCTCTACATTTTTGGAAGGTTTTGGAAGGGATAGACTGTTCTACAGATGCTGCAGTATTTTGCTCTTTATTGCAGGGAGTTTATGGAACAGCATGGTGAATTCTCTCCAGTCTGTGTTTACATGCGAGATGAGGTAAGTCAGCAAAGTCGTCTTAGCTGTGTCTTCTTCTGTTCCTAAAAAATAAGAAAAACTCAGCTCTGCTTTCCAACCTGGAAAGTGTTTCTTTTGAACTTTCATGAGAGGGGAAGTAGAAAAATGTTGGTCTTTTCAAAGCATGATGTGTCTGTATGGAAAAAAGCTCTTTTGGAACATAACCCTGGGCCGTTTAGACCTCTGAGCCCATAAAATGAGCTCAATGACCTGTTTGTGTTTTTCTTTCCAACTTCTTTTAAAGCTCGAGTCAAAACAGTGGTTTCATTTTAATAAATATTTGCTTTTCTCTGTGTTTTGATCTTTTTCTATTAATGTTTTGTGTGATATTTTGTACGTGTGCGTTACCGACTTTGCTCTGCCTGGCTGTCCGCTTCACTCGCCACTGGCCTCTGTGGACAGATCATCTTTGTTTTGGAGCAGGTCGTTGCAGGCAGATGGGAGGTGGGTGTAAGGAAATCAGCTGCCTTTCAGCTCGGAGCTGTTGCCAGCAATTTAAGTTCTAACACAAAACCAGTGCTTTGCTGAGGTTGGATCTGGTTTGCCTGTATGCTTGGGGTGGAAATACAGGCAGATCATCTTTCCCTGAGATCATTTAATGAGAAGTGAATATGGTAAAGCAGTACAGGTGAATATAGATGGATACAGGTCTTGTTTTCAGCTGCAGAAGCAGTGTGTTTTGAGCTGTTTCTGATGTTGTGTGGTGTTTGTTTTGATACAGGCTTCGTGCTAAAAAGAGCACTTTAAATGCTCGCCCATGGAGACAGTTGCCATAATTACTTTCCTCTGGTTTTGTTGCAGATATCAGGAAAAGATGCCCTAGAGAAGACAACTCTGAAGTCACTTGGCCTGACTGGAGGCAGTGCCATCATCAGGTTGGGAGGAGCAAAGTTTGCATTCTTTTTTCCTTTCCACTCAGGTGGTGAATTTGTTTTGCTCCACATTGAAGGGTAAAAAAAAAAAAAAGGCATGTTCAAAAAGACAAACATTGCAGCACTCAGTAATTATTGCTTTTGGCTGTTTATCTGAAACTGCTGCCCAGATGTGCTTCCCACAGCTGCAGATGCTGGCACTGACCAGTCGTGTGCAGATTAAAGGGGCTTGTTTGCTTCTTTCTTTTTTTTTTTTTTTTTCCTGTGAGTGAAACAGACAATTCAAAGTTAAAAGTCTCTCTGAGAGCACAATCATCTACCACTTCATTCTTCCCTGCTTTAGATTTCAGGCATTAAACTCCTAAGCCCTGCAGTGCCTCCTGCTGACCGAGGAGGTGAGGTGGGGGACAACGACAGTCTTTCTGTGATCTTCTAGCCAGTTCTGGGCAGTGTATACAGAAGGCAGGAGTGGTTAGAAGCTGTGCCTTACAACTGACTGCTGTTTTTTCCTGGAAGGCAGTTTTGTTCCTGTGGAGCAGATAGTTCCTGTACAACCCCCTGACCCCCTACCCGTAACTTCAGGCCAATTTGAGCTTGTTCTTTCTGAGTGTCTGGAAGAAGCAGATCATTAAATTAGGGGCATATTTGAGTCAGGCTGTCTTTTTTTTTTTTTTTGTGTGTGTCATGGTTGCATTGAGAATGGGGAGGGCAGTACTGCTAGGATAAATGATTTTGTGTTTATTTGCTTTGGTGTCATCTTCAAGGATTGTCATGAAGAAGTGCAGCTCATCTGGCCAGGAGGAAACAGTGGGTGCCATAGTGCAGTGTGATGAGCTGACAGCGAGACCAGGCTCTGCTGAAGGAGCAGTGGATGTGCCTCTACCTCAAGGAAACACATTCCCAAAGGACTTGGACCACAAGGATGTGGCCGTGTCTCTAAACAGCTGCCCAGGCCAGCAGGACTCAAGTAGAGAATCTCATGTGAGCTTGGAGGAGCTGCAGCCTTCTGCAGAACACGAGTCTACCCCCTTTGTCCCTTTCTCTGGAGATGGACAGCGCCTGGGGGGCTCCTGTGCTGCTGCACCATCTCTTGGGTTAGATGCGCCATCTTCAAAGCTGCCAACAACTTCTTCCAGCCCTGGAGGCCCTTCTAAGCCAAAGAAGTCTAAGAACAGCCAAGAACTGCAAAAAGAGCAAGAACAGGTAAGGGAAGATGCATTTGCGGTGAGGGTTTCTTTATCCTGCCTTGCCCAAGGCTGAGCTCCTGTGAGGAAAAGGATGTTTCCAGGTTTAACACTTTTTCCCTGTAATCCAGGGTTGGGTGCATTGGAGACATAGAGGTCTGGCAAGAATTCAGGAAGGCAGTAGTGCATTTTGGACAGTTTACAGTAGGAAATAGGAAGGGTTGGAACTTAAGAATTTGCTGTCTATAGGCAAGCAGAGCTTCAACCCTTGAGGCATCCTTGATACCAAAAGAGCCTCAATCTCTGTGCCTCAAATTCCAAACAAATTTAATTAACAAATGTCTACTTTGTCACCTGGTCCCTGATACTTGTCCTTTTAAAACTTGCTGTCTGTGCTGTAGTGTTGCTGAAACAAGCAGAGTTTAGTTAGACTTGGGCTTTATAATACTCTGAGGGTTCTCACTGCTTGTTGTAACTGACTTATCTCACAGGTCATACAGAAGGTGTAAGCTTGGTGGGGCTTTACAAGAGTATGTGTATGCTCTCACATTGGTGTAGAGATTCTGCTTGGGCTGACTTCTTTCTGGTTGCAGTCCATTCTTGAGGAGTTTCCTGAATTGTTTAGGGGCAGAAGCCAGACCCTAGAAGGACTCTGGAGCAGTTACAAATGTAGCAGAAATAGGCCTTGCCAACACAGTGGTGAAATTTCAGTATATGAGAAACATATTTGGTCCATCTAATCAATATTTAACCTTTTGGAAGGGACCCCGAGCATAGAGAACTAAAGGGTAGGCAGGGTGATTTCTCCAGTGGAATGTGGTGCTTGCTTCAGTCATGCTCTCACCTGTGGAGGGATTTGGATAGGAGGAATCTCTGTTGTGTTTGAAAATGAAGGCAGGAAGAAATGCAAGGATTTGTGGTGGTGTTTTTCACCAGTGCTGTTGTCTGCACTTCTCTGCATGCTGTCTGGAGAGTCAGAACTAATTTTATCATTTTACTGGCTACAGCTCAATCTGGAGTTGTTCTGCTGGGCAGAGGGCTGAACAGCGGTAGCCTAAGGACTCCCATGATCCAGCATCTTTCTCAGAACTGCAGTCCAGTTCAAACCACTCAGAGGCACTTCTGGAGCCAGCTTCCTTTCCAGTTTGAGAGCAGCTTTGGAAGCAGCTGCAGATTCTGTTGGGGGGGTTCTGCCCTGGTGTTAAACAGCATGTGATTTTGACTGCTGCTTTCAAGCCCTTTGATCTCTGATGCTTTTGCTGCTGATTGATTACATTTTGTTCCCTCCTCCATTCCTGCCATCCTCTGCTCTCCTTGCTCCCAGCAGCAACAACAGAGCGGGGCTAGCCACATGGCATCTGCTTTTTGTCCCTTTTCAGTCCCGAGGAAAAAACCCAAAACAAAACAAATTATTTTTAAACATCAAAGGTCTGTTTTTGTAAAAGAATCTTCCCATTAATGCTTTGCCTGTGTGTGGTTTTTGAAGCTGCAGAGAGAGGCTGGATAAAATCTGTGCCGGCATCCCTTGGTTTCTTCGGCAGAAATGGTTTACAGGCAGCTGCGTGCCGACTTTGATGTCGGGGCATTAGTTATTAGAAGGTAACTTTACACCAGATTGCCCGTGAGATGAGAGCTCCCTGAGGTGGTGGGGAGGAGGTAGGTCTCCAGGGAGAGCTTGCTGCTGTGGAAAGCACTGTAGCCATTACTCAATTTAAAGTTAATTGAAAGTTTTCCTCAGCTTACCTGCTTACTTAGGTGCAGGGTGGTGGCCACAGAGTGAACTGTGTTCTTCCTGCCCTGGCACCTGGCTTTGTCACATGGGTGGCAGTTACCTAGGCAGTCCAGTTAGACACTGCTCTGAATATGGTTCTGCTCACTGGTGGAAAGTGTCTTAACATCTCAGCTGTGGTAGTAGAAGTAGACTTTGAAGGATGAAGATGACAAACCATATCACAGCATCTTTGGCTCCTGAAAGGCATAGCTGACAAACAGCAAACTGCAGAGCTGGCTTTCCTTCAGAGCTGTGTGACAGAAGCAGAAGCTGCTGTGTGGTGGGCATTTATTAGCACAGGAGTTGGTGACCTGTGGTCAGGGTTGCAGGAAGCACTGGGCATGTGGTGGACTGGGAAGTGAGCTGCAGTACCTGGTACCCTCCTTTCTGGAAATGGCTGCAGGAAGGGAGTTTTTCGGGTGCTGTCTGTGCTTTAGGATTGTTGGTGACACGTTAACATAAGGCAAGATGTGTAGTTGATTCCACAGGGTGTTGAATACATGGCAGAAGAGATATTATGGTATTATTATGATATGGCAATCATAGAATTATTGTCTTTGCATCCTCAGAGGCAAAATGATGATGTCTTTTGGTTGCTAAGCAGTGCTGAGCAGATGCCTTGTGCTGCCCTTCTGGGATCAGACCCTGTTGTGCAATTCTGGAATTGAGTTGCAGGAACTCTGAATCAAACCACCTGAATAAGATTTCATGAGAACTCGCTCGTTACAGCTCTCTCCAGGGATCTCACTCTGTTAATGAGAGTTAGCTGAAAATCTTAAATTAGGGAATGCTGACTTGTGTATTTTTGCAGTCTTGCTAGACATGCACAGATCTGCTCCTTCTGTACTGAAAAGTATGTTTCTTCAAGTTAAGTAGTAGCTAAGTAATGTGTCTCGGTTTGGAAGTCAGGATGGTCACCATTCAGTACTGGATGGGGAAACAGAATTACAGACTCAGGAGCTGGAAGGAGCTTTGTCTGTGTGGGGCCAGTGCCTGTGTCCTGTGGAGGATGAAATGGGTTCGTCTCAGCTGGATGGAAGCTGGAGGTCAGAAATTGGGCGTTGTGTCTGGGAAGTGGTGGATTTTGTGTCACAACACGTAGGTATTTCTGGCAGGCTGGGGAATGGCCCTAGAGGGGAAGTTCCTGACTGTCCATTTGCTGTGCCTCCACTGTTGGCTGTGGAGACCCGTTTGTTTGGAAGAAGATGTCTGGAGTGTGATGCCTGGGGGATAGCTCTGACACACTGTTCTGGAGCACTGAACACACGGTGAGGAAGAGGGGTGGGTACTTAGGACTGGAATATAGGTGTGACTTCTGCTGTCTCGTGACTTCTCATGTCTTGGCTGAAGTCTTTAGCTGCTGCCATGGTTTGGGTACTGCCTGCTGCTTTCCCTGTGGAATCCTGCTACTGCTGGGATCAGCTAAAGTGCTTGCTGGAGCCAGTACTAAGTGGCAAGATTAGCATTGGCTAATGCAGGCGTTGGAATCTCTCCGCTGTATCCCAGCACCCTTCACAACATGCCATCGGCTGTGCCTGCACTGGCTTCTTGCAGGAGAAGGCTATTTGCAGTGTGTGCATGTTCAGAATGAAATGAGACTTAGGCCTGTTTGAGGAGATTGAAGTACAGGTGATTCCTGGGGAGGCAGGATTCGTTCTCCTCGGGCATCGGTCTGACCCTGCCAGGCCAGCCAGGAGCAGCAGCTGGGGCTGCTGTGCAGCAGGCCCCTTCCCAGAGGGTGGCTCTGCAGCGCTGGGCATCCCTTCCCCTGAGCCCGGGAGAGCTGCCATCAGGCTCCTTCACCCGCTACTTAGAGCTGACCTTGCTCAACTTTCTAAAAGTAGCCAGGGGCCCCACCCACACAACCTCACTCTTTTAATTTCTCAAATTGCCCTTTAGTGCCCACAAGCAGAGTGAGCTTTGCCTTGTAATTTGTGTTGTCGCTTTTGAGAACTGAGGGAGACTCCGTGCTCGTGGGTGGAATGGATGGGGGCAGGACATTCGGGCATCAATTAGGATTGGAAAGAGTATCTGAGGGAATAAGGGGAGGAGAAATGGAGAAATGGGCATCGTGTTTGCTCGTAGAGCCTAGGGCTGAGTTGGGCTGGCAGCTGAACGGGAGAAATGCTGTATTAACTGTCAGAGTTCTTGTTCCCATGGGCTGCTCCCCCCCGGCTGCCCGGGCAGCCTGCACTACACTGGTCTGTTTGTTTTCAGCCTTTGTGCCTTTAGACATTTCTGGGATTTAAAGTTTGGATTGTTCAAGAGCCAATAGGTGTAGCTGCCTCTTGTGTACTTGACTGCAGTAGTGGTTTACGTTTGCGTCCTGACACAGTTGCTGCTTTTGACGTGAGGGAAAGCAGCCAGTATGGAACCTTCTCCACACTGGGAGGGGAGGGAAAGCAGCCAGTATGGAACCTTCTCCACACTGGGAGGGGAGCGGAATGCCCGCGTTGTAACAACCTGGCAATGGCTGTAAGGGCAGGTGCTGTTTGTCTGGTAGGTTGAAGGGGCATTAGGGGTCTGGGTTTCTTGGGGGTTGTGGGTTTTGGTGTTTTATTTTATTTTTTATTTTAATAACTGCAACCACAGTTACAGGCCAGGGTCCAACTGTGCAGCAGTGTTTGCTATCCTGATACCCAGCTCCTGGCTGTGGGCTCTGGAGCAGGGGCAGTGGTGGCCGGGCTGCCTGTGCCCTGCTGTGCAGCTGAGAGGGGCACCTCGCCCGTTGTGCTGCTTGAACGGCCTGTCCTCAGCACCTGCAGTGCAGGTAAAGTTCCTTATTAAGTATCTTTAGTGCATCTGGTGCATACAGTGAACGGCTCCCCTTGCATCCATCCGTTTTGCCTGCAGCAAAGGCTGACTTCAGTGTTAAGTACTTTGTAAGAGCAAAACAAAAGTGTTTGCACTGTGTAGGGGAGCTTTCTGCACACCAGAAGCCAGGTTAAAGATTTGAAATGCGTACAGTGGAATGCCACAGTGGCTCAGCAGAGACCTGAACAGGTCAAAAGCTACCTTACCAAAACCGAGGAGTGCTCCTCAGAGTAAGCAGTGGTGTGTTCCCTCCCTGGGAGTAGTGTCATTGGTTCTGTGGCAAGACAAGGTGAAACAAAGAAAACAGAAGATATGATGTGAGCCAGGAGTGCATGGCAGATGGGAATCTTAAAAGGGCCGTTTACAGTCTGTAGTACCTGTGTAGAATTTATGCTGCCTTTATAATGGGGAGGAAGGGATTAGAAACCAAGGTTTGGAGTATGGCAGAGAGGTAGCGTGTGGTTTTGAGATAGGAGTAATTCCTGAGTGCTTGTAACTGGCTAGAAGTTCAGCTGCAAAATATCCTTGTGCTGTGAGTGAAGAGACTGCCCAGGCAGTCCCTGGAAAGGAGTCAGCTCTCCTTGTGTTAGATGAATGCTGAGGTTATTACCCTGGGCTTCCTGTACTGACAGTAGAGAGCATTTAACTGTTCAGGAGCGATTCATCTGACAATATAGATTCCGGCTGCTTGCCCCAAGCTCTATCAGCTGTGAAGAGTGACAACACTGACAACCTCTGTGTTGTTAGTCTGGTCTTAGTGATGTGAATTCCACACTAGCGATGGTATTTCAGTTTGCAAATGCTGTCCTCTTCCTTTTTTCAGGAACCTTATAGCATAAGCAAAGCAATGCATCTAAGACTAATCAGAACTAATTTTTATTCTGTAGCTTGTAGAGCGAGAGCCACTTGTCTGTCACCTAGACCTGCTGGAACCACTGCCTGCTGCCATAGGAGAGCTTCCTGATGAGTTTTTTGAAGTCACAGTGGATGATGTACAGAAACGTTTGGCACAGCTGCAGAGTGAGAGGCAAGTTCCCTTTCTGGTGGTGACTGGGATTGTTCCATGTTCTTCTGTTGAGCAGGCTGACACCAAGTACCTAGAGCTGGCTGTGATCTCCGGGCAGAGGGTCGCAGGTAAAATACTGGGGGTGTGATTAATGAATTGGTGATCAGCATGGGCAATCTCTAGGCTTTGTGCCATTTGAGTCCAAGGGTTATGCCCTGATTCTGTGACAGAACTCCTGTTTTTGTGTGAATTGCTTGAGGATTTGTGCATGGGACAGTGGTTTCACGTGGCTATTGAAAGCCTCACCCCTTTTTCATTTCCTTCTCCCTTCTGAAAGCCATTGCCTTTAACTAGACACACTCTTACCTACCAGAGGCCAGTATTGTCGCTGATGCTCAATATCTCCATAGATGAGATTTTGGGGTAGGAACTACAGGAGGTGAAGAAAGTGCTGTGAGGGTCTTTTGCTGACTGCATGGCCCAGCGTGAACGATCAGGCTGTTAGCAGGAGGCATATGGCCAGACTTTGCCATCCTACTCCAGAGAACACAGGAAAGTTATGATGTGATTAACAACAGAAGGAACCAATATATCAATATATTTGCTCATGGTTTGTGTAATGGCTTTAAGCTAGAAAAGGGTCGGTTTAGGTGAGACATTAGGAGAACGTTCTTTAATATAAGGGTGACAGACCCCTGGAATAGGTTGCCCAGAGAGGTGGTGGAGGCCCCATCCCTGGGGACATTCAAGGTCAGGCTGGATGAGGCTCTGAGCAACCTGACCTTGTTGGAGATGCTTATTGCAGGGGGGTTGGACTACATGACCTTTGGAGGTCCCCTCCAGCCCAGACATTCTATGATTATATGATAATGTAAAGAAAGAAGGCGCGAGCCAAGCTAGAAACCAGGTCATCAGCCCGACTCCAACCATACAGAAAACACTACAATAATTGCTGGAGAAATGCATCATTACATATGTAACCCTCGTTCTGTCCTGGTCTTGATCTTGTCCCACTGTTGCTGGGAACTCTACTTGCTGTGGACAGTCAGGGAGCCCTTCCAGTAAGAGGAAACCCTACACAGCACATCCACTACACAGGTACACTTCTCTCACTCCCTGCATGCAGAGCCAGCTTTTATACTGTTCACTTCAAAGGTGGGACACCTGATGTTAACTTTTAAAGGCAGGGCACCTGGTGTTAATTTCCTAATTGGATTTCACCAAAGGTTGTCCAGGCCTTGAGAGAAAACCAAGAGGAAGGTCTCTCCTGCCTGGTTGTTGGCATCATCCATATATCAACCTTGATTCAGGGCTTGGGGTTTAGACACCAGCATTTCAAAAGGATACATGAAATAGTTGAGCAGTTCTTATTTGTCCTGCTTGGACCTTTCACTCTCTTAATAAAATGAATTATTATGCAAGTGACAGCTTGTCTTCTTCCCATTTGTCTAGGAAGCATCTGGAAGAAGCTCCACTGATGACAAAATCTTTGAGGGAGGCCCAGCTGAAGGCAAAATTAGAGCGCTACCCAAAGGTAGGTCTTGTTCTTTTTCCAGTCCCTCTGACTAGACCAGACTTGGGGGTTGAGTAACTTTGGGAATCAGTTGTGATCAACAGGGCCTTGAGCTACTTATAGCAAGATTTTTCAAATTCCTGTCCCTGTTAGCTTTTTGTGGGACTTGCAAAACAGTCGTACCGTGTAAAATCAGCTGTCCTGTAATGATATGGCTGTGTGGCAGGCAGTGTAGCTCCCTGATATTTTATTCCAGATGTTTCAAAACCCTTATGATGTGCACACAAGAGTCTGTATGGCTATCTATGAGTCTGTGTGACTGATCTGTATGAATTTGTGCTTCACTTAGTACAGGGAGCTCCTACTCTCTGAGTAAGTGCTGCTGCATTGAACATCATGCTGTTTCAACAGATAAGCTCTCTTGCAGCCTTTGAAAACCAGACAGCCCATGTTCTCTGAGGAGCTACACAGTAGTCGTTAGCCTGGATGCTATTCTACCCCTCTAGACTAAATGTCTCAAATCTCCTCATTTAAAAAAAAAAAACAAACAGATTGCCTTGCAAATTCTAAGCCAAGGACAGTTGTTTCACAACAGCCATACACAGCTGACCTCACGTTCTTTGCCTGTGACTCAGGTGGTGTTGAGAGTCTATTTTCCAGACCGCCATGTTCTACAGGGGTTCTTCCATCCTAGTGAAACTGGTAAGAGCAATCTTCACTTCAGTCTGTGTAGCAGCAGCTAACTTCTCTCATCATTGATTAGTTGCATGACAAAAGAGAGTGGCTCTGGACAGACCTTTCTGCTGGCTAGGGAAGTAACACTGCTCTGAAAAAGCAGCAGTAGCTAGTTACACTGGCCTTAAAGGGGCCATGAGCATGATAAGAAGAGTCTGGGGTAATTAACTTAGTTAAGGGGAGTTTATTTCCAGGACTACTTGGAGACTGCCAGCCTACTTTTTCCTGAGCTCAAATATTTTGTGATCCCGTCCCACTCGATATCCCATTACTTGTGTCCAAATGGTATGTTACTGAGATGGATTTAGACACTTCCTCTCTCTGCTTTAATGCTTAGAAAGTTTGGGGGAAGAAACACCACCACCAACCCATCCCCCAGTCCAAAATGAACAAAACCAAGAAGAAGAAAAAGGAGCTTTACCTACTATAATAAGAATAACAGGGCATCAATTTTTCTGCCTCTGTCAGTTCACAGAAGGCAGACAGACCATGCACCAAGTAGCTCTTACTGTTGTTAATGGAGGTCCTCTTATTCTCAGCTGGCAGTGATAGTTAGCCACACAATTTTTTTTTTTTATACTTTTGTAAGGTACAAGAACTAAAGTTACTGGAGTCTTACCTGTCTGTCTCTGCAAATCTTGCAGCTGCTCTTTGATTTCCTAGGAGGAATTTCAGTGGCATCCTTAGGTATTGCTGAGGGACTAGCATGTCCAGCATGTGTGTTTGTTTTTCCTCCAAGATTCTTGTAGTAGTAACTTAATCCTTTTGAGGAAAAGGCAACCTGCAGACATGGTGGAGGGCAGTTCTGATGTTACAGGTTAGCCTTTTTGCCCAACATCTGAAGAAACAAATGTAATTCAGCAAATCTTTCTCTCCTTCTTTCACAGTTGGCGTTTTGAGAGACTTTGTAAGAAGCCACCTTGCAGATGCAGACTTGCCATTTTACTTGTGTGAGTGTGTGGTTGGTAATATTTGGCCTTATTTTATAAGGCCAATTCCTATTTCTGGTGCATATGGGATCTTGTGATTCCATGAGGCATGGCCTGGGAGGAGTTCTTTCTTTCCCTAAATACAGCCTCAGAGTGCAAAGATGTAACCTGCTCCCTGCCTTATCACTGCCTAGTAAGAAGCCTGTGTGGGCAATGGGAACATCCTTTCAGGAGCAGTAATCCCTCCCAAACCTGCTGTATTTATTGTTTTGGCTGCTGGGTGGTCCTGTTTTGTAACTTGTTTTTTAACTTCAGTTATTGCACCTCCCAGAATCATCTTGAACGATGCAAGTTTGACACTCTTTGAGGTAAGAACTCACACATGTGCTCTGTGATTCTCTCTTGTCTTGCTGCTCCCCTTCACCCTGCCTTATGCTTTTGTTACTTTGAGATGAAGCTGTGTAATGTCATCCCCTCAAGCTTTTGCTTAGCCAGGACTAATGAAACCAGGTGTTCTGGAGCACAAGCTCCTCACCAGAAGAGGTCCACCTTGTGCAACAATATGCACTGGCTGTTGTGGCAGGGTTGTGGGGTTTGCATTGTTTCACACGTACACTCAGTGCCTGAGCTGTATTTAAGTGACACATTATTTCAGAGCTGAGCTGATGTGAGTTTGCTGTATCAGTAGTTGGACTAGCATAGCAGATGTGATGCTGGATTTGGATAGTTAACTGTTCTCAGTTTCTACAGCAGGAGCTAAAGGCCATATTAGACAGAAGTATGACCTTTTTGACAATCACTATGTGAGAATTTATTTTAAGCCAGCTTGTACATTGAGGAATATGTACTCTTCATGTAGAACTTTTCTCAAAGGCTGAAATTTAGTTTTTTCAAATCCATATTTCTGTAATTTTTTTGCAAATGTCAGATAAAGTGGTCTTGAAGTCTCTGGACAGAGACCCTTGACTGTGAATCACACAGGTATTAGGAGACCCATAGGGTGATTTTGCTGCTGACTTTGCCCCCAGTTCACCCCGTTTAAAGCGTGCTGTCATTCGCAACTTCGTGGCCAGTTGTAAAGCAGTGCACTGAGGATCAAGTGCTTGACTTGCAGTGAGAGCTTTTGCTTGGTGCCCCTGAGGGAGCAGGAGGAGTGGGGCAGGAAGAGTGATGGAGAAGGGGCCTTTTCAGGCAGCATGATGAATTTGGGAGGAGTCAGCATACCTCTGAAGTTGTTTGTAGTGGAGCTTTCCAAACTCCACAACTTCCTGACCAGGCTGTGTGGAAGAGATACATGTGCAACTGCTTTTAGACTGCTGAATGTTCAGGGAAGCAAAGTGTGGATCTCCATGTTCACGGTGGGAAATCTTTCCTCTTCCTAATACTCTGTTAAGAATTCTTTGCTCAGGTTTGAAGTTTTGGGTGTGATGTTATTCACGTTGGAGTTCCTTGTATTTTTACCACGCCTGTGACAGATTTAGTTTCCTAGGGAGATTCTTGGGGATCACAGCCTCGTTTGGTTCTGTGGTTCAGGAGCTGCTGTGCAGCATCTCTTGGCCTTCCCCCAGCTCTGCAGCCTGAGGACTGCTCCATCAGCCATGGCCTCTGTCTGACTGTGCAGTTTGCGTGGCTGTTTGTCTCACTGACAGGAATGGGATGGTACGTGTGTTGGTAAGACATCATGTCATCATGGGTAGAGAGAATGTCTTTTTATTTTCAAAGCTTTTTTTTTTTTTTATATTTTATTGCTAAAAATACCAGTGGAAAGCACTTGGTGTCTTTGAGCCAGGAGATTTTGCTGTTTGGGCAGGCAGTTCTCTCAGCTTCCTCTGACTTGTGCCGTCTCACCCACATCTGCCACCCAAAACACTGTTCCCAAGGCACACATATTGGGAAAACGGTCAGGGGAAGAGCAGATAACTAAAAATGTTCTGCACATGTGAGTAGGTCTGAGGCAAGGGAAGCAGCTGTAGAGCTGTGACCAGTACAGACGGGTCTGACAGGGCACAGGCTCGTGTTCTGCTCTCTTCTGAGCTGCTGCCTCCGAGTCCCTCCCTCACCTAAAGTTGCGTTACACACATCTTCTAACATGTTTTTTTGAAAGCTTTTTTTTATCATTCCACAGCCTGGTCTGTGCAGCTCTTGGCAACAGAGGTCGCCTGCATAAATGGGGTGTTTTTTTTTTTTTTAGGATTGAGCTGGGATGTGTTCCCCGATTTCCTGTCTCAGCTTTCAGACTTGTGTCCCTACAAACTACACTGATTTTTTTTTTTGGTGTCTCTGTAGGAAGTGATACTCTTCCCCCACCCTAGATGCCACATTTTTCTCTAGAATCTCATGGACTTAAAGAAAAAATAAATAGTGCCAAAACTGGAAGATGCCCCTTTTGTTTTGTTTTGTTAAGTACATCCTAGTTGCTGAAGATGCAAAATCTGCCTCTGTAATGAACCTTTTTTCTGTTCTCGATTCTTTTCTTATTGGATGTTTTGTGGCTTCTTCAAATTCAAGGTACTTACCTTTCTGATGCTGCATTCTTCCACTATTTTCTGTCACTATTAGAAGATGCCCTGTCTGCTCACATGCCTGTACTTAGCACCTTGAAATCCCCTGTGATCATTCTCTTCCTCTTTTTTAATTAGCTTCTAAATCCTTTCATATTGTCCTCATTCCACAAAGAAAAGGAAATTTCTCTGACTTTTCAGTAAACTTGGATGCTGCACCCTCTGCTGACCTGTATCTTCCTCCTATTCGTCCAGCCTGTGGTGCTGTCTCTAGTCTCCATTGTTAGCCTTGCTCTGCCTTTGAAATAAAGTTAAAAAACCTTCTGCTCACCTGATTTTACCACTTGCTTGTCATGCGTCCACTTCCCCTCCATATTACCAATTTGTTGTCATCTCCAGCATACCTCTCATGTTTCTCAGGATGTCTTCTGAAACATGACTTGTTCAGTGAAACACCACAGAAATAATTACATCTTTGTCTTTGAATCAGAGCTGGTATGGCATGAATTTTGTTTCATTTACTGTGTTAAAACCTTTGTTCCATACTTGGCACCGTTACTTGTGCTTGTTACATGTGCGACAATTTCCCAGTTTCCTAGTTGTGACATTTACTGCAGAATTCACTCCTTGTGGCAGCTCCCTCAAACATAAAAAGAGTGTTAAATTGGTGCTTTGTAAAGACTTTGAGGTATCTTACAGCCTAGTCTTCTAGACTCTGTGAGAAATCACAACTTGATGAAGAATGTGGTCGATTTTACTGTCAAGCACCTTCAGTTTGTAGTGGCCTTCCTGAGACTGAAGTGCTTGCTGTGTGACGAGGCAAATGTGTAAAGCCTTGACGTCAGTACAGAACTGGCTGTTCACAGAATCATATCATAGAATCACAGAATGGTTTGGGTTGGAAGGGACCTTCAGGATCAGCTCGTTCCAAAGCCTCTGCCATGGGCAGGGACTCCTCCCACTAGACCAGGTTGCTCAAAGGCCCATCTGAGCTGGCCTTCAACCTTTCCAGGGATGGGGCATGCAAAACCACTCTGGACAACCTGAAGAGATTAACAGTTGCAGGACTTGGCATTTTCTTCTTAACCAGCTGGCTCAGTGTGGGTAAATGTAGTGATGCAGGTGGAAATAATTGAACATCATATAAATATCAGGGATGATTGTTACTGCTCTGGAGTATAGTCTTATGGTGATGAAATCATCAGCTCATGACTGAATAGCAGTCAAAACTGAGATGACCTCCTTCCCAAACCCCAAGGTATTCAAAATGAGGTAGGTAACAAAATAAGGAACATCACTGTGTCATTGTATGAAACCAGGGTTTGCTCCTGTCTGGAATAATGCGTGCAGATCTCATCTCTCATCTTAAAAAGGAACTGGTAAAGGTGCAGAGGAGGGCATTGAGGATCATCAGAATGGCTTCTACATCAAGAAAGACTGAGTAGGCTAGAACTTGTCAGTCTGTGAAAGGTGTGACTGGGAAAGAAATATCAAGGAGAAGCTGGAGGGGGTTGATTTTTTTTATTCTCTCCTCTACAAGAGTAAGTGGCATCAAGTGAGGCCACTTGTGAGCTAGAATAGAAGGCAGTTGTTAGTGCAACAGAAATTGTTTTCTTTAAAAAATGAAAGCAAATAAAATTATATTTAGGGAAGGTTTAGTCTTGACTGCAGGACCCTAGAGTGTGGGAAGTGAGTGCAGGATTTGACCAAAATGCTTGTGGCTAGCAACACTGCTCTAATTGAGGTGTGCAGAGTAGAGGTTTAGCAACAAGGAAATGAACACACGTGTCACTGGACTGGCAAGAAGCCACAGAGGAATTGATGTGTTTCAGGAGCAAAGAAACTCATCTATGTTCAGGGTGAGGTAAGAGAAGGCTGCAAGGTTCTGAGGCAATGTGGAAGGATAGAACAAGGTGAAGAGAGGGAGCAGAAAGAAATACGTGTCTGGACAGGGTTGGGTTCCACTGTCTATATTTAGAGTTTTAGACTTTGGGGCAATGGCTTCTGTGCTGCCAGGAATGTGTGCTGGGGGAAGGGCACATGAGCACGAGCATTAAAGCCTTGGAGCTGTTTGATGCAGCTGAATGTAAAATGGCCATTGTATAAAATGAGTTTGCAGATGGGAAGGGCTGTGTTTTAATGCCAGTGACCATGTAGGCTGTGTGCCTTGCCTGGGGCCCTTCAGCCCTTTCAGGTCGTGGTCTGTTATGGCAGGAATAATTCTGTGTGTTTATAAACATTTTAGTTGGATGAAGCATCAAACAGGAAAAAACCAATTCCCGCAGAGAACTTGTCATAGCATTCTGGTTACCCCTGCTGCTGGGCAGAGGCCACGGTGCTCTGACCGGCTCGGGCGGTGCCTTATCCCCGTGTAGGTGGGCTGGTTCTGGGGCAAGCTTTGCTCCCAGTTACCAGTGGAAATCGTTTCTCATCTGTAACTTGCCGCGTGCCTGCGAAGGCCCCGTGCTGGGATGCCTCTTGCTTGACCAGGCTCTGCCCTCCCCTTGCCCTGGAGCTGCGTGCTTGGCAGGGCCCGAAGGGGCTTTCTGTGGGGGAGCCGCTCGGGATTTCGTGTCCCTGGCAACGGTGTTATTGTTGGATGCCCTTTTTGTGGGCGGCTGCTGCTGCTGGGGCTGCTTTGCCCGAGCCTCAGTGCCCTCAGTAGGAAGGGCAGAGCCCCACACCGGGAGCAGGAGAGGTGGTGGTCGTGGTGCTGGGCCAGCGCTCGCGGCGGTTGCCTTCCACACCGGGGCTCTGCGCAGAGGCCGGTGCGGCTCGGTGTCCGTGCCTGCTCCTCAGCTGGGGGTTAGGCTCTGCATGGGTGGCTTGGGTGAAGACTCTGCCCCTTTCAGGCATCATGTGGTCTG